AGATCTTGGAAAAATATATATATAAGTCTTCAGATTGGTGGTTTTAATCTAACAACGCTTTTACCAATATTACAGACGTAGTATAGTTACGTTATTGTCTATCACGAAAAATATATAAAATATTCACAAAAAAATCGAAAAGATGCAGAAAAAAATTCTCATATCTGATAACATTTTTCAGAATTTTTAATTTTGAAGTTTTATTTTAAATTTTATTTTGAAGTTTATGGAAATTCGTAAAAAAAAATATTTCAAATGTTTTCAAATTTCACATTTTATTCGGAAACTGTAAAATGAGAAATCTTAGAAATCTTGAAATTTCTGAGAAATATTTCAGAATTCACATATGTAAAGAATTCAAGAAAAGATAAAAGTTTGTTAGTATTTTTGAAAAGTATTTGTATATTATAGAACCTAATAAATTTTTTAAAAAGTTGTAAAACTATATATAGAAAATGTAAAAAATTTTGAAATTTATATAAAAAAATTGCAAAAAAATTATTTAAAAAATTTCGATCAAGATTCTTCTTCGCAAATTGTAATTATAATATTATACAGAATTGTGTGTCACATTTAATTATCAATATCAGTATTTTTCAACCTTTTTTGCGGCAAATTGAATAATGAGCCAAATTTGTCAAGGTCTATCATTAGGTGCACACACTTCAGCACTCAACATAAGTCTTTTATCAAATACTACCGACATTCAGAAATAAAAAATGAAGACTTTATTTTTTATTTTACCATTTTAAAAGTAATACATATGTTAATTCTGAAATATTTGTTGCAATAATTGATATCGCGCTTTGGTTAAAGTGAGAGTAAACACAATATAATTTATGTAATTTTCATAATCTTAAAAATATGTTTTACTTCACACGCTTTTTACTTACGCTATTTCTAAATGTTTTGCTTTTTTCTATCTTTTCTAAAATTTTCGTAGTATAAATCTTTTAAAGTACCTAACGTATTAACTACTGTGCTGTATTGGTTAAAAAAATCACTTGATGTAAATAACAAAATTAAAATAATAATGCAATTGTTTATAAAGATTTCACCCATAATTGTATCAATGTTTGACTTATACATTTAGAGAATTATACATTTTGACAAAAGATGGAAATAAAATAAGCTTATTTCGAAATCACTGAAAGATTTAAAAATATGAAATGGAAAATAAAATTTTAATAACTCTTTAATCGATATTTAAAATATTATTTAAATAATTTCTAATTATCAATCTTATAACGCAATATCTTAATTTTAATTTAAATTTTAAGCAATGTATAAAAGGAATAGTGAGCATTGCTCATATTATTTCATTATCTGTAAGTTACAAAAATACCACAAATAATAGAATTCTTGTGATGCAAACATTCTTACAAAAATAAAGCAAACAAATACTTTTTTCGAGAGGTATTTACATTATTTTTACTTATATTTATGTCACAATATTAAAGTATCTAGAGAACAATTTTTACTTGTTAATATAAAATTTGATGGTTCCTTTAATCACTTAAATTACCTTAGCGCAGAAAAGTAAACTGTAATTAATAAATGTCGAAATCACAAATCACTCGTACTGCGAAATTTGATTTCGCAGATATAGACTACTTCACGTATTTCACGAAGGTATAAAAAAAACTGAGAATAATTTAGTTTTAAAATATATATATGCGCGGATCGACTGTGTTAATAATGCAAAGGCTACATTAGCACGAATCGATATCCGATTCGATCGGTCGGTGGTTATTAACGAATGAAGATGATTGGCGTATGTCATACGCAAGAATAATGGTGTATCTATCGCGGAAGCCAAGAGACGACTATCTTGACAAGGATCACGCGAACTATGGCGGAACCTGAAAGAGTCCGAAGCGTCGCGCCGCGATTACGCGCATCACGATAGTGTCATTGTGACAATCTTCTAATTAAACTGACAATAGGCACAAAGTATGGAGTACAAAACGAACGATTGATATACCTCGCAGTTAGAAGACTCGCAAGTGGATAATACGACCTAAATTTAGGTGATATGGATACATGTTTAGTTGAGGGCCACGATGCCAACACGAGTCTTTCTATATAAAACTAATTGTAAGTCGCTTGTGAGTAAAAATACCCCATAAACAGAAAAACATACAATAATAATACCTCGCGTAATCAACGTTTCTAAATATGATTAGCATGAATTAACAATCAATTAAAAACTTCCATATGATATCCTTATATTTTATTACATTATTAAAACAAGAATATTTTTTTCATATTTCCAGGACAAATCGAGAAAGAAAAAAATGAAACTGAATTATAATTTTTCCTTTAATTTTAATTAGCAAATGCGATATCTCGCATAAATTTTTAGAAATATGTCTTACATTAAATATACCGTGATAAATATATAATTGAATGACATAATCTTCAGCCTTCATAAAAGCGCGGTAATTCGTTGCCAAGTATGACTTTTCTTTCAATTCCTTTCTCTGTAATTACACCAGTTCGTATCACACCGCCGCTGCTACCATCACGAGCCATGGCTAATGCAAGTGCTGAAAAGAATGTTAAAGTTATTGATTTGTGAACTGCTAAATCTGCTGAATTTTACAATACTCACTGTTCTCTACTAGCTTGAGGCATTCGTCTTTCGACATGTTGGGTTTGTATTGAGCATCCACATAGCCATACACATACGTTGAGCCGGAACCGCCAATGGAAATTGGTTGTCTGACACACATGCCTCCTATGGGAATGCTGTAAACCTGACCACCTTTTTGCTTATCCCATCCTGCAACTAGGATCCCAGCCATTAAAGAATCCCGATAGTTATAACATATTTCACGGAATACATTAGCAGCAGTTTCCACCAAGGGTTGCATTCCAAGCTCCATCCTTAAAAAAATTGGTACAGATTATCATTGATGAATAGGTGCGATAAATTTATGAATGTCCTCTGATATCTTACTGATGTAATCCCAAATGATAAGCTACAATGTCAGCAATTGCCTGAGTGTCTGCTGCCGAGCCAGAACGGCAGCAATAAATATAATCTGTCACTCTCGTCAATTTATCAGCAAAACGGTTGGAGACATAAGCTCTAAAAAAAATTATGTAAGTTAACATAAGGAATTTTAGTCAATAAAGATTGCATTGCTAAATAATTATACTTTACCCTGTTGTACCCCGAGAATCAGCACCTATTACCACACCACCGTTAAATTCACACGCCATGATTGATGTCTGCAAATAGATTGTAAGACAGCTTTAAACATTGCATCACTTGACATAAAGAGTTAATTATGAATTCATAAATTAAGATAAGAAGACATGTAATAAACCTATAATGTTCTTTGCAGATCTTTGAATAAAATTTTGTAAGTGACAGAAGAGTGTGTAAATATAAACAACAAATATGTATCTTACTTATAAAAGCTGTCAATCTTATTGTTTTGTTCTTGTTGTTAGAATTATCTATTTCCGACTTTTCTGAGTCATTTTTTCTATTCAGACATATTTCTCTATAAATATTTTTTTTAATATTTCTAATAAATTTATTTTTTATTAAAATATATATTTAAATAAATGTAATGTTCCCTAAATAACTCTTCTATTTAAGTAAATATTTATAGAAGGCAAATATGTATTTAAATCCAAACTATACAGATTTGAATAATCAAACTGTGTCAATATATTTTATAAATAAATATATACAAAAAATAAAATGTTTATGTATATTTTTTTCTTATTTTATCCTGACACAGTTTAACCACTAAGCCAAGGATATTATGTATTCAAGCATTATTATGTTTTTTTGAGCACTATTACATTTTATTTTTAAACAATTGACAATTGTTTTATATCAAACATATTTACAACACGTGATAAAGTGTGAGGTTTTAATAAATTACGCTAAACAATAAGACTACACTCTCACGATGTTATCCGTGAGACATTGCGGTTAGTCAGAAATTGGGCATTACTAGGCATTTGTGTACATAATTTTAGTTAGCGATTTACCACTTGCATATATGCTTGCTTATAAATATACATTACTATGCTTACTATGCTCTCGTAAAAAATATTAATTTATTTCTATTTTTTACTTTCTCTAAAATCTTATATAAATAAAATATGTATATATATATTAATTTGTTTATAAACGTATATGTTTAGAAGTATATATTTTATTCTAAAATGCACATATCGATTAAAATTTTTTTTAAACAGAGAAGTATATTTCAATTATTTAATAAAATATTTTTCTATTTTTAATTAAAAAGATTATATTTTTTCAATAAAAAATGTTTTTCAGCTTTGACTTGTCAAATCTCAACTTTGCATTGTCATTATAACCTAAAACTGCATCTTTTCAACTCACCCCTGTGCTCTGTTCTGAATTAAGCCAATCTGGTATCATATCTGATATCATAGTTGCGTGCGGTTGAAGAATATTATCTACATAAGCCATTTTCCGTAATTTCTAACAAATTTAATTGTGAAATTTTTGTGCTCTAACTATAATTACAGTTGATCACAATGAACAAATTTCTCATCTCTCACACAGTCACAGCAAGTCACAGTATTGAACTTATCGAACTATCGAAGAGACAAGAGACCATAGATTAGTATATACAGAGAGGATCGATAGCATGTACCCTTAGGCTGGATCCTCATACAGACACTGGCGCTTTGACACCGAACGTGATTGGCGGAAAACGATTAGTAAGAGAATTCCAACGACATATATAATAGACCGAGCATTCCTATGCTTTTGATGTGGAGGAGGTGAAGCCGAAAGTTGGCAGAATACGACTGAGAGAGACAGTGCGATTTGAGGGGAATGCT